TCAAGCACGGGAATTTTGTAATGGAACAAGCCTACCACGGCGAGTGTGTGGGGTGGGGAGGCGCTCTCACTCTAAAACACTTCTCTGCACTAAATTCCTGCCGGGCCCTCAAAGCACAAACACACTTGGCTGCGTGACTGTGTACTGAACACGTCTCTCCATGTAACACCGAGTCTGAGTTTGTAAGCGTAATTGCGAACCTCAACTTGTGAGTAATGTGTCTGTGTGACCGTCTGTATGTCAGGGTTGTGTGCGTGTGTGTGTGTGTGTGTGTGTGTGTGTGTGCGTGTGGGTCCGCGCGGGTGTGTGTGTGTGTGTGTGTGTGTGGCAAGGAGGGGGAGAGAGAGCTTTTCTGTTGAACATAATCTTATTATTTCCTTTTCTGAAGAACCTTGAACAAACTGATGTTTTTTCTTTTAATTTTTCGAGAAATAGGACTAACATATTTCGCTCCATTTCAGCTGTTGATGAGTGTTGATATAAAATTCCCCGAAGTTAATCTATAATTTAAAAGCGGCGCAAGAACCTCGTAAAAACATCAAACTTCATGTATTTGTCATCGTCCTTACAGCGTGCACTGGTGAATTTCACTATGTTGAAAACGATGCCCCAAGATGAGGTTCCCGTGGAAAAGATGGTGAGTATAACTATCATACAGGAATAAGGTAAGATAAAATAAAATAAGATAAGATAAGATAAGATAAGATAAGATACATTTTCTTTATCGTCCAGATCCTGGCACATTGGTTTGGTGTTTCACCACGTACACACATACACACACACACACACACACACACACACACACACACACACACACACACACACGCACGCACACACACACGCACGCACACACATGCACACAATATGTTGTTTAGTGGAGTCTTAGACTTCGAGAACGTAGTGTTAATTTAATAGAGAAGTTAAAGCGAGCATCTCACCGTATAAAACTTCCTCAGCTAAAAGACAGGGAAACAACCAGTACAATACAAGATGTAAAGAATTTATATCTGTTATCTCCCATGCCGTGTCTTGATCGCATCACATTTTGGTCCTTTTAACCCTGGCCTTGTTTGTTCGTTTATGATTTTGGTGCTTTTTCGTTTGGAAATGGTAGGGGGTGTAATTTGGTAGTTTTAGCTTGGGGAGGGGGACGTTTGTATTTTGGTACTTTTCAATTGTTATTTATTTGTTTATCTATTTATCTATTTTTATTTTCATTTTTATTTATGTAAATGTACTTATGTATACGTTTTCAGTTATCTATTTATTTATTTACTTATTTATCCATGTATTTATTTATGTATTTATTTATTTATTTATTTAATTATACCTGAATACTTGAATGTAGAACTGGGGTCTTAGGAAGATGGGTTGCTCCATGCTTCCTCGCCCCTCCTCATAAGGGTCCATTTTAGTGTGGGCAAGCTGATTGTCTCCATCATCAGCTGGTTGTTGTAGCGTCTGATGGGGTCACGTAGGCTGCTCCTCCTGTCTTCATCAGGCTGTACTCCTTTCTCAATCACAATCTCCTTCGTGAAGGAGTCCTCTTCAGGGCTGCTGGCTAGGTGATCTCAGACAAGGGCGATTACAGTTGGTGGATCAAGGGTAAGCACTCCCTCTATGTTTGCGGAGCCTGCTAGCTTATCTGCTCTTTCATCTCCCTTGACTCCTGCGTGTCCTTGGCAGATTGGCAGAAGATCCACTGCTAGCGTCGGATTTTGCTGTCTTGGATTGTCTTAAACCAATCTGCATCGAGGCTGTCGGTCAGGACCTTATCCAGAGTACTCATTGGGTCTCTCACAAAGGTAGCCTGCTAGTTTCCATTAGTGCAAAGCCATTTCAGAGCCTCAGTGATGGCCTTGATCTCCATGCACATGCTTGATGTAGTGAGGCCCGTTGCCCCAGATGCCTCCTGGATTGTTACTCCTTGGCAAGAAGCTGTGTAAGCCCGGCCTGATTTGATCCCACGCTGAACAGAGCCATCAGTGAAGATGATGGTTTCATCCTGTCTGCAGTTCTCTTCAATTAGAGTCTAGATCTCATCATGCATTGTTCCTTCAGGCCATTCACGACATTCACGCCCTAATGTAACAATCACCTGAGTGAATCGGTCTTTCACCTCGTCCGCAAGCGGTACCCATGTCTCCCCTAGTCCGATTGCTTCAACAGTGAGACCATACTTTTCAATAGTCTGCACTGCCTGGGTCATCCACCGTGACCCGTTTGAGTCTTGGGTTAGTCTGACGACCTACTTTTCTCTGAAGAGGAAGCTATGGATCTGCGCAGACCTTCAGATAAGCTTTGACCTGTGCGAGCTTGTGTCTTTCTTTCATGCCGGGTAGGCCTAGCACTTATGACATTGCAGCAACTGATGTATCTTTTGTGCAACCGAGTATGGCTCTCATTCCTTCGTTCTGGATCACGTCCACTCTTCTAAGTTGAGTCTTGGACAGTGTCAGCAGACCAAAACCATAATCTACTTGAGACAAGACAAGCATGTCAAAGAGCATGACCAAAGATCTCTGCGGCATCTTGTCTCTCGCCATCACCTTCACTGCATTCAGCCCTTTTCTGGCCTTTGTGACGATTTTCGATATGTCGTGCTCCTTTCCTCTCAATGCCCTGTCAAGCAATATTCCGAGGTAGAGGTAGAGCAGTGTTTCTTCTCTTTTGATTGTCTGGTCTTTGATGTAAACATCTAGGCATTAGGGCTTTCACTGCTCGATTGTTGAGGGAGCACCAAAGTGCTGTCGCTTTTCCAGGATGGATTTTGGCATTAACTGCTTCACACCATGCTCCAATCCTATCAAGCTCTTTCTGTATACTGCTGGCGATCACTTGTCTGTCTTTCCTTGTGCGGTATGCGAGACGGTCATCCGCAAAGCTTAGTGTCCTACCAGGGCTTTCCAATTGGTTAGAAGTGATTCCTACTGTATAGACGTTGAATAAAAACAGGTGATAGGGCAGGGCTTGGGGGAAATCAGGTGTGATCGTGCAAGCGTTTGATGCCCATGAGCCAAGTCTCATAGCCACCCTCCTCTTCAACATTGCTTCTCCAATCCAGATAGTCAAAGCTGGGGTGATTCTAAATATTATGTAGACTAGCGTCCTCATCCGTATTTCATATTGTACTCTAGTATACGCGTCTTCTAAGTCCAATGCAGCCACTACTGTTTCTTCACCCCGCTCAAAGCCATCATACACATCAGAGGCCAGGACTGCAGCGTTCATCTAAGTGTCTTTGCCTTTACGATAGCTGCCTACAGTAAGGGGTAGCAGATTCTTCTCCTCCCTTTCAGCTGCCAGCAATTGGGCAACAATCTTTTCGGGTATTTTCCCTATTGTGTTCTACATCGTGATGATTCTGTAAGATGCAATCTTGCCTGGGTCTCTCTCAGGCTTGGGTACTGGTGCCAGTTGGCTGTCCAGCCAGTCAGTCGGTATCTGTCCATTTTCAAGACTGTTGATAAAGTCCTGTGTTAAAACTTCCAGATCTGCCTCACTCGGCTGCTTCATGTGAGAGTTATTTATTTATTATTTGTCTTCTTGTCTACTTGTCTATTTGTCTATTTGTCTATTTATCTATTTATCTATGTATCTATTTATTTGAGGGAAAGGGGATGTGGGACGTGTTTGTTTGAGTTTTGGTACTTTTTAAAGAGTGGGAAGACACAGTGTGTTTTTGAAAAGTATAATAAGCTGGACACCCTCGTAGACACAAAATGGTTTGGGTTTTTTTTAATTATTGGACCTCAGAACGTATGCTTTCAGCGGCTTACTTCTTCACCATTCCCCTCTGTTTTCTGACTGTCCAGCTTGCTGTATCCCAGTACTCAATACAGTCATTGCATCGATGTACTTCTTTCTACTCAAACTAATCCCCGCCCCCCACCTCCAATATTTTGTATCAGGATTCATTAAAAAATGAATCAATTAGTCACTCAATTAATCAATCAATTAATGAATTTATTGGTTGATTTCTTTAACATCTATCTATTTATCTATTTATTTATTCACTTATTTACTTATTTATTTATTTGTTTAACTATTTATCTATTTATCTGTTTATTTGTTTATTTATTGATTGATTGATTCATTCATATATTGATTGATTGATTTATTCATCTATTCATTTATTCATCTATTCAATGTGGCATCGGTGGCCTAGTGGTTAGGCTCTCGGACTCGCAACCGTAAGGTCGTGGGTTCGAATCCCGTCAGGGGGCTGACGTTGTGTCCTTGGGAAAGGCACTTTGCACAAATTTTCCCCACTTCACCCAGGTGGAAATGGGTACCCGGCTATAGACAGTGAACGATCTTGTCAGTTTGATAGTGTTTGACCGTGTGAAATCAGCAGCTTGCACTGTATGCTTCCGCGGAAGCCGAAAATGTTTCTGAGTGTTCTCAGAGGGTCTGCTGGGGTAATAATGGTTGTAAAGCGCATACAGCATGTTCTTGAGCATGGATATGCACTATATAAATGCAATTATTATTATTATTATTATTATTATTATTATTATTATTATTATTATCATTATCATTATCATTATCATTATCATTATTATTATTATTATTATTATTATTATTATTATTATATCGTTATCATTATTATTATTATTATTATTATTATTATTATTATTATTATTATTATCTTTCCTCTTCCCTTCCACCAACCACCATCAGTACCGGCGCTGTCGCGTGCCGTTACGCCGTCACCTGGCCCGACACAAGGACTACCCGCTGGTCTACAGCATCAGGACGGGGCGGGCCGTCTTGCCGTACAGCTCACGGTAAAGGACTGGTTTGTCCTCGTCTTTCTCACAAGTCTTGCCGTACGGCTCACGGTAAAGGACTGGTTTGTCCTCGTCTTTCTCACAAGTCTTGCCGTACAGCTCACGGTAAAGGACTGGTTTGTCCTCGTCTTTCTCACAAGTCTTGCCGTACAGCTCACGGTAAAGGACTGGTTTGTCCTCGTCTTTCTCAAAAGTCGCTACCCCAGAATTACACATTTTCTCTATGCCGGCTCAGTATCTACTTTTGATAAATTTGACGTCAAAGATTTTGAGTCTCACAACATGTCAAGTTTTCTTTTTAAAAATGCAGTTCTTTGAATACCTTGATAACGACTACGAATAATCTTACGACGATTTAGATAGAACAGACAGAACATTTCGGTTTCTAACCGCTTGGTCTTAGTAACTCTAACCCAAATCGGCCAAAAATATCAGATAGAACTTTGTAATTATTAGTAAACGAAATATGTGTGAAGCGTGCTACCAAAGGCCGTCTTCAAATCTGACCCGTCATTTTGTTTTAGGCAGTTGGGTGTCTTACAAGGTGTCATTATATCATTATTATAATATGGAAAGCACATAAGAGGGAAATGGGAAGCGGCCGTTTGTAAAGCTGATTGTCTTATCAAGTAACGTGAGACCAAGTTTGACTGTATTTGATCTGCTGCACTGAAAATGAAGTTCGAATTCGAGTGAGAATTAGCGCTCTGAATGAGAACAAATTGACGCTTCGCCTTGAAACGGCTAACATGGTATCAAGAATAAAGTTTTACTTCACAAACAACGATGTTTTAAAAAGCAGCAGCGGCAGCAGAAAATGGACAACAAAAAGAATACCAAAAGAAACGATAGAGATTGAAAAGGGTTATTTCGAAGGTTGGCCCTCTCACCATGTGGGTCATGTCTTCTAATCCGGATCTGTGGTCACAGTCTTTATTTTGTGTGAAAAGGTGGGGACAACTCTGACAAGATACCAGTCAGCAGAAAAAAGAAATTGAGTCTTGAATCGAACTCATGTTACGTTCTTCCTTCAAGGAGAAGAAACTATAACCGTAACACCTAACAATCTGGCACAGGTTTCCTATTTCCCGCACTTATTCCCCAGGTCTGGTTACTTCGTTCACAAAAGACAACTAAAGAGCCAGATGTACAAGTCAGTGAGAACATTCCAGACAACGTCGGAAGACCTGGAGGAACAAAGATGGCGGTTCGAGGAACATCACCAGCATAAGAGGTTGTTGAGTGCACTCGCTGCCTTGAGGGGGCAGACTCCGGTAAGAGGGATACTTGATAAAATTATGTCTTTATTTTTTGGTTGGTTTTTCTTGTTTGTGGGTTTGTTTGTTAATGTTTGTGGTTGGAACGTGCCATTAATAGTTCTTTCTTCTTTTTGTTTTCCCCTTTGTTGTTTCTGTCTGTCTGCCTTGCCTTTTCATTTCCCTAAATAGGCGATATCGTGTCAATGGGTTTGGTTTTACTCAAATTGAATTAAAAATTGAAATTGTTTGTATGAGTCTGTTCCTTCGTTTCTTTGCTTCGCTTCGTTTTGTTTACTTTCATTGTTGGCTGAAAAGACAGAGCACGACGGAACAGGAGGCAGGCCATCCGTCATTTTCTTGTACTCACTTTGACAGAGCAACTTCTTTGGTCGGATACAGTGTAGTCAAAAATTTGTGGCGCAACTTATTGTCAAATATCTCCTCAACTATCGAACATGAACTCTACAACTTTTGCAAAGTAATTTGAATCAATTTGTCTTAACAGATCAATATTTTTTGTAAATACCTGTTAGCTCTATTCTAGAAAATTCCTCAATAACTACTAATTTTAAAATCCCAGTGGGTGGTTTATACAGAATTGAAAAGGTTTACAACTGGGACAATTTCGTTTTTAAAAGCAAGCACGTCATTTTTTTCTAATCGCGGGATTGTATTTATTAAACGCATGTTTTGAGAGTCTTTAGTGCAAAAAGGGCTCACTATAAATGTTATTTCTTGTAACTAGTTTTGCCACTAAAAAGTGCCATTTATTAGCTGTGACGTAGGCCGTATGCGTACGCAAAATGTGTGTGAGAAGCGGGAAGTGTTGTGCACAATTCCATTTTTCGCGTGACGGAGATTTATAGGTCTATACATATTATACTTGTGAAAGTTCGTCACTTTGGCAGCCTAAAACTTCCCAACCATTTAACTTTCGAATTTGACAAAATTAACGGTGGTTCAGAATCATTTAATGGGTGCACAGTTTTATTGAGGAGCCTGAAGTCACTGTAGTTTGATTGTCAGTTTTTCATTAGTTTCGTTTAGATCTAATCTTTTGAAAGTTCGTCTTCTAAGACGCCATTGTAAACAAGTGAAATTTCCGTTCATTAACTGTTCGCACCTTTGAAATTCTGGAGTATACAACCACGAAAGCGGAGTAGAGAATCAATCTATACATCTCTTTATCTAGACCTTCTAATTTGTGCATCTCTCTAGATTTATTGCTCCGTTCAAGTAAGTTGTAAAAGTAGGCTAATGACTTTCAGTTTATTTTAATGCAGCGATAATTCCTTTCATCGAAAGGGGGTCCAGCTAGTTTTATATAAATTTATGAAGAAAAGTTTTTTAATCTAGTCGCAATTGTTGTGAAAGAAAATATGATACAGTTATGACAAACTGATACAAACCGCTGTGCAAAGTTTGGCTGATATTGATTCAACAGTCTAAAAGATCTTTGAAGACAATTTTTGACCGCACTATAGTTGATTGTTAATTGGTCGATTTCATATTAACAGCTGTTTTCAAATCGTACTGAGATGAAAACGGGAAAATTTACCCCCCCCCCCCCCCCAAAAAAAAAACCAAAAAAAAACACGAAAAATCACATTTCATTTTATACGTTTAGTGTTGAACGGAAGTTGAAAGTAAATATACAACTGGAAATATTTTGTGGAGGAAAAAAAGGGTGAAAACGTGTAACATCGAGAACGATTTTTGTTGTCGACCAAACATACCAATGATTCCAACTCTTAAGTATGAAGAAAATGTGAAATTCCTCAACTTCTGTACTCGTTTCTTCTGGGAGTATTTTGAAGGCTTTTCTTGCAGCACGCAACGGGACCCCAACAGGTAGATGTAACTCTTCTAAAGCATACTTCGTACCATTATCATTCATTATGTTCGAGTGTGAGAAAATAGGGGGAATTAGATCTATAGTGCAATTTAAATAGAACCTAACAGTGACACCACTCAAACCACTTACTGACCATCTTGTCATTGCAAAAACTAACCTACAGTTATGGTTATTAGTTTGAGGAATTGCAATTGCAATAATAAATTAAATGCTTTTCGCCACCTCCCATTGTTTTCATTTTCCCGATCAGCACAGTTTAGAACATTTAGAAGCGGACTGCTTCGACCCAGCCCGTCAGATCTGACCCAGACAAGGAAGGGGATATAATATCCAAGCTGATAGGCGGAGACACTCGATTTGGATCAGAGAATATTTTTTTTTTTAACTGTTTCGAGAATTGGACTCACGTCTTCTGTATGTGACGGTGAATAGCCTAACTGTTACACCACAGACGCCGGTTTGGACACGAATAGCATAGGAAGTATACAGTCGTCGGCAAACGGTAGAAAAGCCAGCTGCGGTCGCTAGTCGCTAAGAGTAAAAGTTTAAGAGTAGCTGCTGAGTACTGACAGCATCCGTAGCTTCAGGAAGGAAATTCCTTCCACGCCAGGCCTATAGCGTCAGGCCCAATTCGTATTTATAGTGTAAGAAGACAGGAAGTTGCTCGTCCGGTTTCATTTTTTACAACTCTGCCTTCCGCCGTCTCTGAGGAAACTGGAGGCAGAAGGCTGCTACGTGGGTGGGCGAACATTAATTGAATAATTCGATTATCTGTTTTACTGCAGCCAATTTATGCCTGAGTTATCGTATGGCCTAAATTTTGGTGAGTTCCTGGAACTCTATTCCCGGGTTGAGAGAATTTTTATTGAGCATCTCTGTGTTTCTGACACAGAGAGAGAGAGAGAGAGACAGAGAGATAGAGAGAGTGAGAGAAAGAGAGAGAAAGTGTGCGTGTGTGTATGTATATATGTGTGTGTGTGTGTGTGTGTGTGTGTGTGTGTGTGTGTGTGTGTGTGTGTGTGTGTGTGTGTGTGTGCTTTTGTGTAAGTTGTGAGAAGAGAGAGAGAGAGACAGAGAGAGACAGAGAGAGAGAGAGAGAGAGATAGAGAGAGAGTGAGAGAAAGAGAGAGAAAGTGTGCGTGTGTATATATATATATATATATGTGTGTGTGTGTGTGTGTGTGTGTGTGTGTGTGTGTGTGTGAGAGAGAGAGAGAGAGAGAGAGAGAGAGAGAGTGTGTGTGTGTAGGGGGGGGGGGCAGTAAGCACCCCTAGACATGGCGTCTCCAAGCATTGTCAGATAACAGAAATGTGCGCTCTCGATAAGCTAAAATCGACATCTTTTCTTACTTTCTTTATCCTTCCTCTTGTACCATCTAGCGCTTCGAGGGAAGAAAGAGCTTTCGGTCTCTGGCAAGCTGGATGGCCTCGCTGGGTGGGATGTTGTGGGTCTTCAAAAAAGAGACATTCAATATAAGAACGCATGGTTTTCCACAGTGCCAGTCTGAGCAACAGGGAGAGGCCATGTCTGCCGAGAGAGGTGAAGAAAAAGAGACGCCCGGCGAGGAGCACTCAGGAGCTGATACGACTAAGGTGAGGAGTAGAAGGTGTGGTGGGTGGGGACGGAGGGGTGAAGTGCATGTGGTAGGGGCGACCAGAGGGGGGGGGAGTGGGGGTGATGGTACTGAGTCAGGGGAGAAAGAGAAAGGGCGAGGTTGGAGGGAGGAGGAATTCTGGAGTGATTGATTGTGGACGGAAGTAAGAGGAAGGACGTTGGGAGGGGGAGAGGGAAAGCGCTGAGGGCAAGAGTGGATTTGGGGGGGGGGTCAGAATAGGAAGGATGAGGGGTGAGTGTTGAAAAGTAAGACAGAAGAGTGGAAAGAATAATGTCTGTAGAAGGACGGACAGCAAGGAAGCTGGATCAGTTTTCAACAATCCCAACAGCGAATCTCTACCTGGTCTTCCTCTTCATCGACAGCCTGTTCGACTAGCGCCCATCCACACCATGGACCTCAGTCCTCTAGATTGCCCGGGCAAGCGCTCAGAGCGGCCTCTTAAAGGTTTCCGAACGTTCTACGCCATACAGCAAGACGGTCTGGGTTCGAAACCTTCTCCAGATAAGCAGGTAATGTTTCAGCAGACTCAAGTGTTGGGGTTGCCAACAATAGCTAGTCATTGAAAACATCCTATACAACTCGAGTTCAAAAATACCCCCTTTGTGATTCGAACTGAGGCTATCCACAGTACAGCCCAGTATTATATGTACAACTGAGCTAACGATGTGTTCAAGTGTAGTGGAAGTGGGGCATAAATCGTTTTGTGACAGAACCAGTTATAACGATGATGTGAGGCTCTTTATCTTATATCTTAAATACCGAAAGTTCTATCCCCCTGTGTGGTTTATATCTCATCAAACTTTCCCTTGGTCTGTTGGGGTGCTGTTTCCCTCACATCCCGAGAGCTCGAAATTATGGTGATAACGTGTATAGCGTCAATATCATTGTATTGATATTCTCTTTCATAGAATTACACAGTTCTATCTGACATTTTACCGCTTTGGGCTACTAAGACCTCGAGGTCAGAAACAAAATGTTCTATCTGCTCTATGAAAATCATATTCGGCTCTTCGGAGTCGATGTCAAGATATTCAAAGAATTGCATTCAAAAAAACGCCAAATGTAGTGAAACTCAAAATAAATTTTAACGTCTAATTTCTCAAAAGTAGGGATTGAGCAGACAGAACTTTGTATTTCTGAGGTAGCGCATTGTATAGGTCGGTCCAACACCCATTACAAATCTGCACGGTTATTTTAAGGACCGGATCTCCGAATCTAGAGTCCATCCTCGAGAGTCTTAAAAATCCCCCCAAAACAACCCAAAATCAGAACACCTCCGTTTGGGATTCGACCCAGGGCATTCCACATCGACTGAACTAACAGCGCGCTTGAAAAACATTTGTGAGGCAGCGTGGTGAAATCAGGCGCTCGTCATTATGATGAAATTTTAAAAAATGTCATTTTTCCGGAGGATTGGCAATTTATATATATATATATATATATATATATATATATATGTGTAATATTTTGGCTCCACTCCTTTTATGTCAAAAAAAGAACACAATTCTGTTGGGATTTTGCTTTAAAAAAAACATTGATTAAAGGCACAGAAACTAAATTTTCAGTTTCCACGGACTTTCAAGCTATGGAAATAACAAAACTTTGGCTGCCATTTTCTCAGTAATTTTACCTCTGAAACCAGGCGACCCCCTCCTCCTTCAATTGCAAATATCTTGACTTGTATTTAAGATAATTAGTATTTTTTTCATCGAAAGCGAGACAAATGAACAAGCCTTAAGATGATACCAATAACTTTACATGCCCAAAAATAGACGAGGGCCTGATTCCACCGCGTCGTGACATTTTTATCACTGCTTGCAATAATAGAGGGATTTCCCGTGTAAGAATACTTCGTGTCAAGACCTTATAAGCTCTTTATGGAAAGATTTATTTTATTTATCTCATATCCCATAAACCATGACAATGATGTTGAGACGGGGAGGGGGCGTGTCACTGTCCTCTTTGTTTAGTTAACAAACTGTGGTCATTCGTATCCCCAAATCCTAGAGAACTGTCGATAACGTCATCATTAGCTGGGCCTATGCCTTCATAAATGTCATCCACGGAGATATCTAAATGAGATTAACGAGGAACGAAATAGACCAGTTGATCTCCGACTTCACACGACATGGGGCTCATAAACGCACAAGGGGTTTTGGAGATCCAGTTCTCTTAAAGACTAGATAGTAAGACTATTGGTGAGTGGTAGTAATATTATGAGGGCAGGTGGTTGGGAGGTGCCACTGGTAGCTTCTATTTCAATTCTGTGGTTTCTGTCAGTTTTTCTAACTTATGTTTGTAGTTGTATTGGATAGTAGTTATCGTGCCGATGTTTGTCTCTTTTTTTTTTTCAAACAAACGAAAGTTCTTTACATAGAGTCTCAATCTCCCTTTAACGGTAAGGTTATTTTAGAATCGGGACCTTCCCATTCACAGACCATCTCCGATAAGGCCAAGGTACAAAGGCGAGGGTACTTGAAAACTCTCAAAAGAACCAACGTTTAAGAACGGCACACAGGGGATTCGAAACACGGTCATCTGCACCACAACCCAAACCTGATACATTCGGCGCGCTCTCAGCACCGTTCAAATCGATCGTTTCGTGAGAGAAACAATTATAACGATGAGTCTACGACAAACCCCCAAAGCCTATGGAATCAATAAAAACCGTTCGGCTCTCCAGCAAACAGTAAATGGTTTGCCTGTGGGGAGCCCAGGGCCCCCGCTGTGAACCTCGGTAGCAGAAATCGTTATCTCCCGCCAGCCAGCTCCTTTTGTCTCCGCTTGTAATTACACGGCAATACAAGGGTCCCATTGGCACAGATCGAAGTCTGGTACAGAGGGGGGATCGATCGATTGAGCGAGCAGCGAGATCAATCATTATGTTATTGTAATCGTGGCCTCTCCCTAATTGATACATTATTGATTTGTGTAACGTAATGGTCGAGTGGCATCGGCCTGCAGGTACGACTTTTGTTTTATCGTGAATATTTTCATACAGAACGCCTTCCGGAGTTTTATTTTATTGATATTTAATTTGGGTTGTTTTGATCTGGTTGGGGGGAGGGGGGTGTATTCTGATAAATAAATCTAAGGAATCTGCAAGAGCCTGGGTCATCATTAACTTGATCAGCTTTCAAAAGGGTGGCATTTAAAGTCATAAGAGTTCGGGCTAGCGATGTGATTGTTGGACGCTTTAAACGTCTTTTTGTAGTTTTCTACTTGGAGACCATGAAATCAAAACAGGTGCTGTATGCAATATCCACAGTGGCTTTTATTTTTTCCCAATTTAAATAAATTGTCCTTGGAGAATCATTGAAACGTTTACCAAGAATTGAATGAAAGAGCAGTTCGAAAAACAGTATTTGTAACAATACTGTTCTCTGGCTAATTTAGAATTTAAGAGCCTTTTGGTTTATTCAGAATTCTCCCAAGCAATAACCCCCCCCCCCCCCCCCCCCCCCCTTTTTTTTGTTTTAACTGTAAGGAAATATCCGAATGGGAAAACTGGTTATGTAAATATGAAGTAAAATTAATTTTGGTTGTCACGGAAGTTGTACATATTATTATCTTGAAAAGATTTGCAAATAATCGATTAAATAAACTATTTTTAAAAAATAGCGGTAATAATCCTGTTCCTTTGGGAACTTAGAATTTTTTTAACAGATAAAAGAAATTAACGATTGCATTAACGACTGGCAGTGTTCTGTAAGGCTCCTCTGGCGACGAACGCAGGAGCTGATTTGCTGCATTTGTCTCTGTATTTTAACAAGTATAATTTGCCGTTCAGCAGGCGCGGTTCATCCATAGAGCACGGTCGTGCAGTGCCGCCCAAAATGTTTTCATGTTCTATTATAAAACACCCAAAATAATAAAGTAAAAGAAGCCAGATACAAACACTACCCAAATATTATATCAAAACAAGGTCCTCACTGGCGCCATAATTGTCATTTCTATGCCTATAGCGCCGTAAAACATATATTAACTAGATAAATGGCATGCCAAAGTCCTCGCGCTTTAGCTAAACAGAAAAGGATAGTATTCAGCAGAGTAACCTGGCCTATAAATCGCTCTCGGGGATAACCCAAGCGATGACGACAGTCGTAGCGAGTTTGGCGGTACATTAATATTAATAAGACGGCACATCTCAAATGTGCTCCTGCTGAATTGTGCCGAAACATAGCCCACAGTAGGCAGTCTAAAAATAAACACGAAAGACCCTACGCTATTCTTTGCCAATAATATGAGAGCCCCGAAGCAATCCAGCAGAGTGCTCAAGTGAATTGTGATTGGTTCATTGTTTGTCTTGCCACTATTTTAAGTGACTCTGTAACCGTGAACCTGAGGGAGGTGAACGTGACCATCCTATGAGTTGTGCCTTTGGGTGGTTTTGTAGTGGAGTAGTTAAATTTATTACTTCAGTGTTCGGTTCCAATACAGGATGAACGAAATAGATGTTTAGCTAACAAACAAATTTAGCACTAGAAATCAAAGCGACAAGTAAAAAGAATGAAAATAAAAGCACGAGGCCCTCCCTCACCAACCCAAAGATCCAAAAATGATACACCGTCTCATTTGCTATGCCCTTGACTATCTTCAGCATGCAATATTGTGCACGTCTACTTTTTAGCCCCACGAGCCGCCCCTGGACGTTCAGCTGTACTAAAATAAACTCTTGCAAAAGCTCAGTTGTTGCTGCTGAGATGTTGTATCCCACTCAAACTGGGTTGGCCGCGAGATCAGGTAGGGTAGAAGCAGCCTGGCTCTTTAAGGGTCTAAATTGTGTGGAAATTGGCGTAAAACACTAAAAATGACAACCATGGGTCATGCTTGGTTGTGCTTGCGCAAAGTACAAAGGGGTTTGTGGACGTTTATTGCTGAAGTTCGAACTTTGGACGAATGCTCCAGTTTTGCGTGAAGTCGGATTTGTGATACGGCCGTGTGTCTGTCCGATTCAAAGAGTTTTGTGCCTCATCAAGACAAGCGATTACATCGTGCCTAGATCTATATCCGTTTTAAAGAGTCGGGAGCATTATTCGGGCACAGTAGAGGCACTGTCCGGGCCTACGGGTGCTAATCTTGTTATGGGAAACGGATCGAAACGTCCGTTCGGTCAAGTTCACCTACGGCGGAGTGTGTGTGTGTATCACAGAATACGGAGGAGAACAGAAGGTACAATATCCTGAAAGGCACAATACACTTTAACCCTTTGGGCTCTCGTCCCATAAGCCGCACAAAACCTGCACACTTTAAATTTCCTTGGGTTGACTGTTAGATTTGCACCACTGTGAGTTAAAGGGTAAAAGCAGAATAGGACAAGGCATGGACTTCAGTCTCTAAGTTGTGTCGTTTTGTTTTTCATTCATGAAATTCTGAAGTTTAAATGTTTTGGTTTTTTAATATTCTTTTTAACAAAAGTCCATCCCCAGAAAAATATACAGTAAGTCACATCTGCCCAGTGATAAGGGGATACTTTCAGAAATTTGATTATTCAAAACAACGTCGATCC